CCCCCCCCCCCCCCCCCCCCCCCCCCCCCTGCTGCCCACGTGCATCAGCAGCCCACCCTCCCTCCCTCTCTTTCTCTCCTGCTGCTCCCTCTAGTATTTTCGAGATCCCCACCTGCACCACTCTCCCACAGATGTAGACCTGGCACAGAGGGGACGTCTAAACACCATCCATATGTGCGCGAGCGCGTATGCTCACACGCACACTCCAACTCTGTGCCAAAACTCTTGCCCCTCGTTTTCTCCCCTAAAAAACAACAGGGCTTTTACAACGGCTTACATCTGCTCAGAACACTTAATATACCCTGCTATTGCTCATCAAATGTCCACTTTGAGCATTAAGCCGGGTGTGTGGCACGCACAGCGAGAAGCTGGGCACTGGTATCAACTTGCTCCCAGTTAGCTGAGCCTACTAGGTCAGTAACAGCACCAGCCAGAGTGAGTAACAGAGGTCTCTGCCTATCCTGCTGCTCTCTGGCATATGGAGAGGTTCAGACGATGGCCCTGCCAGCCGGCCTCGCCGCCTGCTAGCCAACTAGCCAAGACAGAGGGAGAGAGTCTTCCCACTGCTGTCAGGACAAGACGCAGAGAAAAGCTGGTCTGAGGAGCTCTCTGGTGGTGAGACCTCAGCCATGCAGGAAGAGAGAGGGAGACGTGTGTGAAAAGAAAAAAAAGTAGGAGGGACTGAGAGAAACGGAGGGAAAAAACAGAGAGAGAGAGGGAGTTAGTCGAAGCTCGCTGCACTCCACAGTCACGTCCCGGCTGTCTGGTTGCCCGCAGCAACCAGACATGATGTCATAGGCAGTTGAACTTGGAATTGAGTTGAGGGGGGGGTAGAGAGAGGGAGTCACTTTCCGCTGCCAAGGATTACACTGGGAGAGCCGGAGTAAGAGAGGGAGAGGAAAAGAGAAGGGGGTTAAGGGAAGTCGGAGCCAGGAGGAGGAGGACTTATCTACAAACACCAAAGAATCATGGGTAAGAAGGAGGGAGGCAGAGGTGGCGGAGGATAGACGGGAGGTCGAGGGGGGTGAAAACTCTCCCCGGCTTTGCTAGAATGGGGGACAACAGAGAGTTTGCTGTTAAAGGTGGGGTGATCCGCCGCTCTCCCCGGGGCCGAGGCCCTGTGGAATGTCAGCGGCAGCCAGAACAGCTCGGCCTGTGCCAAAGCCTCCACTCTGCCCTCTTATCAAACCGAGAAACCGGATCCCTGGAGTAGCTGCCCTCAATAGCTTTACAGTGTAGCCTGAGACCACTCGGGGCCCACAGCGCAGAGACATATTAGGAGGATCGCCTTACATGTAAACTGGTAGCGCATGACAGCAGTTCTAGTCCCTGTGTTCGCTCACTGGAAAGCCATTCAGTCAGACACACTGCTGCCCTAATGCTATTTGTAGCTCCCAAACAACACAAGTGGTTTTAATGAGTGAAACGCCAGCATCAGCCCTCTTAAAAACAGCAAGCGGTGAAGTTGAGGTAGTAACTTTTTCAACCCTGTATGGGACAGCTGAGCTCAGCAAGCACTGTAAGTGTGGGAGAAAGGGAGTAGAAGGTGGCCACCTAGTGGAGGAAGGACCATTTATACAAGTGCTTCCCAAATCAGACACCTTGTGACATTGCCTCCTGGTTGTGAGCAGTTCAACCAGTACGTTTTTAAAATTTTGTTTTTAGAGGTTGGAAGAGGTAAAATCATCCAGAAAAATATGAAGAAATGAACATTGTTTTGTGTAGAAATGTGATTTACATGCTTTAAAGTTGACTGTGTAAGATGCTGTTCATACCTCACCTTTTCACACTCTGTTACGTCCCGCTACGTCTCCCTCCTTTATTCATATCAACAACTTCAATGTGAAATCTGCTGATGCTGTTTGAAGCCTAATCTCTTCTTCTCTTTTCTTCTCCACAGTCCTGGTTCCTCTGACGAGGCCTCTCTGAATCAAGAGCTAAAATTGTGTCATGAAAATTGGAAATTTGACAAACAAACACGTCACCGCTGATTAAGAACAGACTGCTGACACTAGAAGGTCTTTCTCTCTAGCCAACACTATTCAAAGTACTACTACAGAACTCAAAAGAAACAAACACACCAACCCAAGAGGACTCCCAATCCAACACAATTTGAACAGGAACGTTCACCCCCCCCCACACACACCCTTTGTGCAGGAGGCTTCAATGAGATCGAGTGGACAGACTCAGAATGCGAGGAAGAGGAAGAGGAGGAACTGTCTCTCACACACACACACACACACACACACCACCAAACGTCAGAAAGGAAACATAATATGGCAACCTGACAAATGACCAATCACTCATTTGTTGTTTATTTTTTATAATTTTTCATTTTTTTTTTCATTTCGTTGTCTCCACAATGAAACTCCATGCATTGGCTGGGAGATCCAAAAAAACAAACAAACACGTAGCGGTAAACGGTGAAGTTGGACGTGCGCGTTGAATAAGATTGCCACCCAAATTTGCACGCCTCCATATCTGTGCATTTCACCATCTGACTGCCACCGCCCGCCCCCACCTGGAGCTCAGCGCTGCCCGGGGTCCAGACCGCCAAAGCGCAGCCACGCGCCCGCGTGTCGCCACGCTCTCGACGCTTCATCCGCTCGGCCCTGAGCCTCTTCTAATTTACGATTGGCCAATCACGGTGACACCATCCGATGGTGTGACATGTATGCACTAAGTGGCTGGTCTTTGTTTACCTGTCAAAAGTATCAGGGCGTCCTGCTGCGGGAGAAGCGATAGCCATGAGGCGAGCGCTAGCGAGTGAACACGCGACAGACGGTCATAACACTAACTCTACAGGTGCTCTTTCGTCCCCTTCACCTATGCACTATTAATTTTTGATAAGGGATGAACGGTATTGCACATCGATGGTCAGATGAGCGATTAGAGAAGCGAGTCGAGGCTGGCCGCCACAGCAGGGATGTGGCTGCGCTAACGGTCAAGTCTAGGCCCTGAAACATGCAGCACGCACATACACACACACACACACGCACGCTTGCAGACAGCACATACAGACTATCTTCTTATTGTTCATTAACTTGGAATTTGATTTACAGTAATGCACACGCAGCATTATTCGGCTTCATATTATTGGCTTTCATTTTGTTTGTAGGTGTTTTTCTTGCGAGTTCCCTTTTTTTTCCCCAGATTTGGTTTTGGTTTTTGTCTCACTTGGATTGTTTTAGCCTTCTCTTGCATGTCATAACACTTTCTATTTTTCACTAGTTTGCAGTAATACGTTAAGTATCGGATTTCAGCGAATCAGTAACAGCAGTTTCTCAAATCTCTCGCGTATGGACACAGCACAGTAACAACAGCTCATCACATGCAGCCCATGTATTGCTTCACCTTGTATCCCTTAAAACCCAGAGTACTACACACACACAGACGCACGTATATAATGCACGCTAACGCCAACAACCTGACATAGAATATTAAAGGGAAGCCTTTATATTTGGTTCTCCAGACTGCCTTTGTTAATGGTTTTTCATTCACTTAAGATTTGTCTTTTTTAATTTGAGATATATATTTTTTTTCTACGTCAATGTTCACATCGAAATTTGCGATCGGTATTGTTCTCACCATGACACAATCCAACAAAAGCCGACCTCACAAAATAACTGGACTGCCTCGCTGTTGGTTCTATTTTGCAGGGATAGTAAACAGGGCTGAGACATGGTTCTCAGCCGCTCTAGTAACATTAGCTCTATGTACTAAAACCATATATCAAGACTATAACAATATATGAAAGTGCCTCTGTATTCCCTTCATGCAATTAGTAATAAATGTGACTTCAGGTTCTCTTCCCACAGATAAGCTAAAGCTACGGGGGAATGGTAGCGTTGGTGCTTGTGGAAACCATTGGCCGAGGACAGATCTTTATAGAGGACTGCAAACCTTTTTGTTTTTGTAAAGACAGAGAGAGAGATCTTATACATATATATTTATGATATATGCTCCTTTTTAACTTTTACTCCATGAGCTGGTTGGCAGTCTAGTTATTTTCTGAACTCTCCCCCCCCCCTCACACACACACACACACACACACACAACCCGTTTCAGTAACGTCAGCTTACTGTTAACAGTACGAATCAAACGACACACGCCATCGCCACCTGCAGTGCAGCATCATAACGACTAGATGAACATGTCAAAAAAAATCGACAGTAGGTTTGAAGAAAAAAAAAAGTGTTTGTTTTTTGATGGAAAGTATTATTATTGAAAAATATGTGTCGATTGAGCCACGTGCAATGCATTGGGTAGATCATTGTGTTTGTCTGTTAGAGATTTTTAAGAAAGCTAAGAGAAAAGAGAAAAAAAATGTATTTGTTTCAAGTCCGTAAGCTCCGGGACTCTAAACCAGGGGGCCATGAAAAATCCTAGTCTTTGTAAGTTGGGGGTATTTGTTTTTATTTCCTTTGTCTCTTTTTTATGTTTTACTTGTAATCAATTGTTTATAAAAATGTGGGAGGGCTGAAGAAAAAAAATAATTATACACGACTTTGGGGGGAAAAAATTCTCTGTCAGATAAAATCTGGTGCTTTAACACTATAAAGTACATTCAGAACTATTGTACATGAATGGTAATGAACAAATGTAACAGACCATTTAGGAAACAGCATTATTCCTCTCTATTTTTATTCTTCTTCTATTTGTATAGAGTGGGGGGAGAGGTTCCTATTCCTTAAGGTTGTGACACAAAAGGCATTTTGGTTCGACCTTTAGAGAAAAACTGACCCGTGCACTGCCTGAAACTCACCAGCAAAAAAGTAACAATCAACCCTCCCAATTTAACTCATTTTTATCTCATACATTAGCATAAATACACGACAAGTTCCTCCCCGTACTGCGGGAGGTGCTTCACATCCAGACCTCTTTTATTCCCACGATCACGTTTCTGAATCTAGAGCTTGAGTCCAGCTGGTTGTGTGGAGACCCACATGCCATGGAAAGACTAATAGGTTAGACGTTTTGTATCCTGCACGGATAGCAGAAGAAGAAATGGGGTTAATGAAAATCGTAAAAAAGTAGCCTCAAAATCTGTAAAAATGAGAGAATCCATTTGTGAAACAGGCAGCAAGGTGAGCCTCTCCCCTGTCCCACCCCCCCTCCTCTGTAAATGACTCTTATAGTGCTTGTGCTGTAGTGTATAGTTTCCCAGCAGTTAAAGGTTGTCCCTTAAAAGTGCCTTTTGTTCACAGACTCCATTTTGTAATCCAGATCGCCCCCCCCCTTTCTTTTTCTCTATTTCGAAACGGCTCGAGGTAACCGGTTGCCCCTGAGTGCCGCGAGGAGGCTGAAGGTCAGCGCTCAGGGACGACTCCCGCCTTCGAAATGAATCCCCTCCATTGTACCGCCCCTATATCCTCTCTTCCTTTTCAAAGCCGTATGTATATATATACACATATGTATGTGTATATATCTAGTACAAAAGGAAACTGGTGTGAATTAGTTCTTTACTTTTTATCGATAAATGACAAAAAAAAACTTTTTGAAAAGGCAAAAAAACTTGTTCTCGTTCAGCTCTTGCTTTTTTCTTCCCCTCTGTCTCCACTGTCTGTTTTCTCTTAGACACTGGAGTAGTCTGTAAGTGTGTGTCTGTCACTCTCTCTCTCTCCCTCCCTCTCTTCTCTCCCTCTCTCTCCCGCCCTCTCTGCTGTTGTGGGAGGGTGGGGGGAAAAAAAAAAAAATTATTGCCGAAAAAACTTTTGTCTGAGCAGAATGCAGTTAGCTCACATGTTATTCTTGTCTGTATGCTTCACATTGTATTACCATACCCATCTTCTTCAGCTTATCCATTCAACAGCTAATGTAAGTGAACAAATTACGCTGATGGGCTTTTGGGGGTGTCCTTGGGTGGGTTAGGAAAAAAGGACAACCGGGGTTCGGGTTGAGGAGGTTTAGACGGACAGGGTCGAGAGGGCTGGACGAACTGCTTCAGGATGTTGGAATGGGGCTGCTTTGACTAGGATAAGAGTTTGCTCTTCTGTTTTAGCTATTTATTTTTTTGGCTTTGTTTTATTCCCCCTCCTTTTTTTTTGATTTCCTTTTAATTTGGATTTCTTTTAATATTTGCTATCAGGGTATGCTGTCGTTCAGGCTCTCTTCCGAGGATGCCTTTGGACTGTAAATGAAAGCTACAAGCACCTTATAACCGGACTTGTCCTGCACGAGGCTGGAAGAGGGGGAGGGGGGGCATTTCCAGGACATATCCACATCCATTCAAACCAATCTTATAAAGTGAAGTATTAATGTAAGCGTCACAACAGTATTATCCACTTAGAACGCACCAACCAGATAGATAAAAAGGCCAGCCTGAACATGATGACTCAGATATTTGAGGATTCAGGGAAGTCCCTCCATTAGTCTCCTCTGACCACCTCATGCTGGACTGCTCCGTGTCTTTGTTCTGTTGTTCATTTTGTTCCTTTATCTTCTTAAGCGTGTATGGTTATCGGTGTAATGGGCAGCACCCATAGGCCCCGACCCCCAGCTCTGCTACGCCTCTGTCTAACGCCCTCAGTGCAGCACCACTTCTTTGTGAGAACACCCCCAGAGCTCTAGGTGAAATGCATGTGTTAATTACAGTTTCTTTTCCATAAGAAGAAAAACAGTTTGAGAAGAGCAGTGCCTGATTGAATAAAAAAGGATGTTCTTGACTGTACCATCTTGCTGTGTGCCATGTCTTTATTTTCACCGACCAAATAAGGAAATGTCTCTTTAGTTGCACAATGTAACAATGAGCAGATGCCAGGAGACTTCCTGTAACATGTGCAGCGTTATTATAAACTGTTACATTATTATGTGGGATTGTTGACTGATAAGCAAATGTTCACTAAAGCACACTAAACTGAGATGGTGAACATTATACTTCACTGTGTTATTATTGTCATTGTGAGCATGCTGACGTTAGCATTTAGCTAAGCTATCTTAGCTGTACGCTCTGTTACATCCTTCATATAGGGATTATAAAGCCTTAACAGCAACGTATTCAAGCTTTCCTCGATGGAAGAAATTGTTTGAGTTCAAAGCACGATTGAGTGCAATTCATGAAACACTTTGGAACGTGACAGAAACAAAATTAGCTCCAAATAAACATTTGAACACCAAAAACGCATTTAAATACAAATTAAATAATACAAAAAAAAAATTAAAAGCAATGTAATTACAGTATATATTCAATTCAAGTGCTCTTAAGGTTTGAGAGTATACTGTGAATAAAGAAGTCTTCCCACAGTTTAGTATTGCACACAATTCCATACCAGTGGGGAACTTAAAATAGACTTAAATAGAGACGTATAGGTCAAACTCCAAAAACGCTTGATCCTACATTTACCATAAAGGTGCAACATACGGGATTCAGCCTCGTTCACATGAACAAAGGAAGGAAAATAACCCTGGATTTGGCCAGTATGTTAATTTTACAACTTTTGGGGCCTAATGGATAAAATAAGCACAGTTAAGTGTTCACCTCACGCCGAGTTACAATCGTCTTTATGCCAACGTAAGTCTATGGGAAAACTTATTTTTGGGCCCCGTGACATCACGCGACGGACCCGGAGGTTTGGCCACTATGTAGAGTTAGCTTCAAAGCCCAGCACCCTGCCTGGGGGCTTGTGTTAGAACTGTTAGCTGAGAGCCGCTGGCTCAGCCGTCGCCATGTTGAGAGACGTAATCTTGTATATTGCACCTTTAATTTAAACAAAGCATATCCGTCCCGGGTAAGTGCTCGGTGTCTTTTAAACTCTCCGTTTTCTCCCCAGTTTGTAGCTCAGGTTGTAAAAACGACAGAAACAGGAAATAGAACTGTTTTCACCGTCGGATTATGAGGACATAGCTGCAACAATATACACTCAATGTGCTTTTACCCAGCCCTTATAGTGTATAGTTTTAGGAGTTCTTTGCAAAAAGCTAATTTTAGATTTTTATGGTTACGTCACTAAAACATATATTTTAAGGCTTTAGAGTTTCTCAAAGGCACAATAAAGGTATATAACTAGAATTTGCATTACTAAAAGCAAAGCACGACATTATAAATTCAGCTTAGGTAACATTCAAACATCTTTGGCCTGAACATAAAGCGATGTGCTCAGTCAAGTGTACCATGTAACAGTGTTTCAGTGCAGTTCAGAACAGCCTTTTCTAGTACTGGCGAATGTAGATCCTTGTTTTTAAGTAACTAAAGAGCTTCAGGTCTATTGGTCCTCGTCGGCCTGGTCTGTCTGATGGGCTTTTTCACCTCGCTGCTCAGTCATCTTGGAACAGAAAGAGAATAAAAAATACAAAGCTCATTTATTTCTTGTGTTTTATACGCGACATAGAAAGTGAGTATGTACTTAAAGATAATCTACCTGCGGTGCAGGGTCAGTTTCCTGCACTGGTCGGTTATTCTCTTTACCACCACACAGACCGTCTTCTTGTCCTTCTGAAGGAGGAGACTGAGGGCCATTTTGAACTAGGAGCGGCGCTGCATCCTGGATGTTGGGAGATTTCACAGTGAGCCTCACACCAACATAAGATTGTAGACAGATTGTGGAGGGAGACACTCACCTCTGCATCATGTACAGTCATTGGTGAGGGACTTGTCTCTTGGACCGGAAGGCTGGAGGAAAATGGTAGTGCAGCACGCTCAGGGAGCGGTGGACAAATACTACGAGGCTGTTTCCCACAGGGTTTAGGAGGTGTTGGTGGTTGTGGTGGTGGTGAAGGAGCGGTGGCCTAAATGTGTGAGGAGACCGATATTAGAGACAGCCAGAGTCACACTTTGTATCCAATCTAGGCCTTGTTTCACAGCACACAAAGATCCAGTCCTCTGACCACTTTACCCTCTACAGCTGTTTTGTTTTTAGGCTAAACAGACAAATATATGTGACTGTAGTCGGGAGATACCTGCTATTCTCAACTCACCAACTCCTCCTCTGTGCAGTGTGTGCTATGGGGTCAGAGCCAGGATGCCAAACAAACATGACTGGATTGTATTTGTATTCATAACATTTATAAATTCAGTTTAGATTGAGCAGCTCGTTATTTTATAGCCCTAACAGTACAATTTGAAAATATTATATATTATAAAGTAATATATATATATATATATATATATGTATTATAATGTTGTCTCTTCCTCTTACCATTTTCAGTCCTTAAATCTCTCTTATTGAAAAAAATGACAACAGCCCTTGACCGGAGTGGAGCAGGACGGGACACAAAGAAAACAGTGCGTTTCTCTCCACCAAGTTTATCAACATCGACACTTCGTCTCATCCACATCACCGGATGCGGAATAGACTGCATGGCATCGTGCCGTCAACAACACATCACGTGTATCCCAGCATCATCAGTACATCCGGCAATAGCAAACTTCAGAGTAAAAGCATCGGAATCACACTCTTTCATCTGTCATGTAATGTGTATCTGTGAATGGAGAAAAGGAAATAGATTCCCCCTTGGGTGGGGGGTGCAGCTACAGATTAAATGGCAGTGTGAGAGGTACTATTTGGACACTTAATGTGTGTTTTAACAATCAAAGAGAGGTTTTACAATGCCCCCCCAGCTGGTGTTGTAGGTAAAAAAATATTTACATGGAGAAGAAATCCGTGCTGAAGAGGCCAATAGGGCACAGGCCCAAGGGATCAGACCCCTAGGCCCGAACAACTGTTTGTTGGAGAGTCATCACAGAGATCAGTTAAAAGTAGATATGTCCTGATTACTACAGAAACTTATCGTTAAAATACACACAAATTAGTAAAGCAGAATAGCCCTGCTTAAAGGTACGGTTCACCCCAAAATCAAAAATACATATTTTGTCCCTTACCTGTAGTACTATTTAGCAATATAAATTGTTTTGGTGTGAGTTGCCTTGTTTTGGAGATATTGGCCGTAGAGATGTCTGCTTTCTCGCCAATGAAATGGACCTATATGGAACTTGGCTTGTGGCGGCGGCAAAAAAAACCATTTGAAAATGTTAACAGCAATGTCCCTTTCCAGAAATCATGCCTCTGTTACTCAAGATCATCCACAGACCTTGTTGTGAGCAGTTTCATATAGGAATGGTTGAAAAAAAATAGTTCCTGCATGAAACATCGCATTTGACTTTTACGAAATATATTTTTTCATGCTTTGAGTTCCAAAAGCCAAACTCTGTATAGTCCCATTATATTGAAGAGAAGGCAGACACCTCTATGGCCAATATCTTCAACACTCTGCAACTCACAACAAGACAATGTATATTGATAAATAGCAACACAGGTAAGAGGGAAAATATGTATTTTTGATTCGGAGTGAACTGTCTCTTTAAGAAAATAGAATCTTTCTATCTTTCTTTGAGGTATTCTGTAGGATTTTGTGTGAATGCTACGGAATTATAAAACTTCATATTTGCAACCATTGTCTCGTAATTTGTCTATTGGTGTTGTGATTATATACCAAATTATAGTGCTAACATTTTTTTTAAACGTATCTGCTTTTATTCTGAATGTCCGAGGAGCGTATAATTGAAGGCGGAAGTGTTTTATTTTGCAAGCTTCCTGATGACGTCATTCCGGTTTGTGTTTTTTTTGTAAACACGGTAAAACGGAACCAGACACGCGACAAACACTTTGCTGTAACGGCTGAACTCTTTGTCACCGATAGTCTAACCGTATCGCTCACCATTGAGTGTTTATTCCACCCAGAGAGCGACGTTGCTCCTCCCGTCGAGCTCCTCGCGGAATGACAACAAACTATATCAGCTAACCTCTAGTTAAGGTAGCGTCAGACAACTCGTTGCAACGTAGCCGGATAGCTTAGCTCCAGTTGACGCTTGCTAAAGTGTCCGTCAGCCTCATAGCGACGTTGACACTCTCATGGTGGTCTCGGTTCAATGGGGAACTGCCTGTTTTCACAAGGTGCGGACGACCTGTCGCTGCTGAACGAGTCCGAGGGGGGCAGTCTGCCCGGAGAGCCTCCGCCGCCCTACCAGGTGAGCTTCTGGGGCTCAAGTTAAATACACTCCGGTGATTTACGATCAGGTCACCTCGGTAATTAAGGTCAACTATGGTATTTTAAAACATGGACCCTGTTTCCTCTTGTTTATGTGTCTAAGTGAATAATGGACCCCTTTACTGTATTAATTTAATTAGTTAAGAAACACACACAGATGGACACACATCTTTTATTTTGTATTGAACATCCTTTTAAATGAAAAACAAACCAACAGTCTTAAATAAGGTTATCATAAATCATAAGGCCCCCCTGCATAAATACATCAGAAATTAAACAAAAGATAGTTTGTTGTTTCTAATAATTGCTGCATCTTTTTTTAAGTCGGGCTCTTTTTATCCACTTCTCTGCCATGGTAGTTCAACAAACAATTCCAGTATCAGTCAGGCTGTAGTGCAAAGTCTAAACTCCTTCCTTCAAGTGCACTTGCTTCATAAATGTTGTCTTTTGTTGCTTCCTCTCCAGGAGCACACCCAGCCTATGCCAGTGTACCATCCCACCCCGGGGGAGAGTCGCCTGGCTTACCAGCTGACCGAGGAGGAGCAGGTCTGCATTGCCCAGCGAATCGGCCTCATCCACCACCTGCCCAAAGGCGTCTTCGACCTGGGCTCCGACCCCTCTGACAAGAAAGTTAAAGAGTGGGTCTTTTTTTATTTTTATTTTTTTACATTCTTCTCTTGCTGCTGTTGTTGTTTTGATCGAACACAATGGACTGGGTTAATTTTTGTACCCTTTTTAATTTAAAGCGGTACTCTTAGCCTTTGAACAGGATGGGATCCTGTCATATTGAGTTAATAAAATGAATAACAATACTTTAAACAACAAAGAAGATGTACAGCAGTGGACTTACAATGTAGATCAGTACAGTGGCACAACCGCACAACTCTGTTTCTGTCTCCACCAGGTGTGTGATCTGCATGATGGACTTTGAGTACGGCGACCCCATTCGGTTCTTGCCCTGTCTTCACGTCTACCACGTGGACTGCATCGACCCCTGGCTGATGCGCTCCTTCACCTGCCCCTCCTGCATGGAGCCGGTCGACGCGGCCCTCCTGTCCTCTTACGAAACCAACTGAGCAGCCCGCGACGGCTGCTCTCGCCTAAAAGTAACCGCACCTTTTTAGCCGAAAATTGTCCTAGCTGTTCAAACAGGTAGCCGAGGCGATGTGGCACTATGCAGATGTTGCCTACAGTACGTTGCTTGAAGTCTGATATGCACCTGTTTGGGCTTTTGGAAACTCTTTGCCTTTAACAGTAGGACGACGTGCCAAATCAAGCTAGATGAAGAATATGGAAAGCTGTACACGTAGCAAAATATTACTGCAAAGTAATGTCACTTTTGTACGACCGACAGTCTATTTTAATTTGTGATATTTTTACGGTAATTAAACGCATGTCACCATTGTGATTTACTTCCCCTTTCTAGACTCATTGTGCAATATGTAATATCAATGGAGAAAATGCAGGAAATTTGTCTCGGTCCAGTGAAGTTTTTGTGTTTTTTTTATAGAACATGTGGCCTTGAATGTCATAAAAACGCAGGCCTCTCTACTGATATGCAATCATCATCGTCTACAGCGCCATAAGATAGAATGGTGTCCCTTTTAGATCTATTTTATTTGACTACGGTTGTCTGTAGCGTTTTTCCTTTTGAAGCTGCTTTCCTAAATGTGGATCTGTTTTCTTTTTTTTTTGCCTTCCCACAATATGGATCATCTCCTTTGCTTTGCCTTGAGTTTGTGCTCTGTTCTGTTTTAAACATCAGTCCTTAGCGTGTCCTTTTCATTGTTTACTGCCAGTGACATTTACAAAGACAAGATATATGCTGTGCACCTTGGGGTACTCCTCATCTGTAGCCTGTAGACTCCGTAGATGATTGTGTGTTTTGATATATGTGTGTGTGTGTGTTTTGAGAAGACGGCGGGTAGAGATTGGCATGTCAGTTGTAAACCTCGGTGTAGTTCCTTCTCTTTTTCTAGGTCCAAGCTGTTGGGGTTTGTTCTGTGGTGACGGCCGTCTTACAGCAAGTGATGCAGAGCTCCTGTGTCTGGTCAACCAAAAACACTCATATTTTGGTGTTAGACGTGTACTCTCTTGATACTGATACTGTGTAATGTATAGTACAAAGAAGTACAATTCTGAAAGAGAAGCTACAGCAGTAGAAAGGAATGTGTCTTGAATGTAAAGGATTATTTCAGCTTTTAAAGATCCGGACAGTACACGTGACAATAAGAGGACATGTCTGATTTACTCTGCTGTGCCTTTTGAGGTTGAGGAAAGCCAATTCCTGTGAAGTACAATCCTTTGTGACACGACTTTTTCCTTTTCTTTTAGTTGTCCTCTCGGGGCAAACGGACACCAGCACTGTTCTGATTTGTGTCACTATGTATTTGGCCAGACATTTAGCCAGACTCTGGCTGCTGTTAACAATCAGTTTGTGTTTTAATATATGTGTGCCACCATTGGCAGATTTTAGGGAAAATCCTGAAACCACAATAAAAGTCGACACCAGATTTTACACATCGCGTGTTGTCTTTTTATTGTGTGTGTTCTACCAGTAGTTGTTTATTAAATGTGCAATTCTGTGGACGGGGAATTCTTCCCAGTGTTTTACCAGGAACTAAAATAAGACCAAGAGCCAAATGAGCAGCAGGCTCCAAACATGAGTGCAAATGTCAACATCAGCAGTGAGCATGAGCGGTGCTAACTAAAGCACAGACACAAAGCTGCACTAGGAAGAAGAAGAAGAAGAAGTACTTTTCTCTTTTTTTTTTTTTTTTTTTCTCAACAAAATGTTTATTAAAAGGGTAACATATTTACAGTATTAAAAGCTTACTTTATTGCACACTGGAAAACAGTGTTACACAGAAAATTAACTTTAATTCAAACCTTGATAAGGTTCACAGTTTAATTACAAAAAAGTATTTTACAGTATTTAGTCATTTACAGGTATTTACAGTAACGGCAACAAAAAAGACAACCACAGTATTCATTGCTGTGTATCGTCTCTAAAAAGCATAGATGCCTATACTGACTGTGGCCAGAGCCACAAAGAGTCCCAGCAGCGTCCTGAGCAGCGGGGATGATTGCATGATGGCTCCGGGGATCTGGAGTATCTTCACCGGTGTGGAGTGTGTTCTAGACGTCTGCAGCTGGTTCTCAGGGACACTCCGCAGCATCTTCTGCAAATCATCAAAGACCTGTGTGAAAAGAAAAGGGCAAGAATGTCCATCAGCTGCTTCTGGCTTAAAAACAGTTTGAAGAGCAAAGTCTAGTTGACGGTGACATTTTGGTCCCCCCCCAGCTCTGTACCTGAATGTTAAACTCGAACGCTCTGACAGCCTCCTCCAGCACGCCGTTCCTCTCCTCCTCCGTCAGCTCCACGCTGTTCATCCGGCTGCGATACAGCTGTTTGAAGCGGTTGGGGCTGGACACACCAGGGAAGGCGAAGAACGACAGACCCTCGCTGCCCTGCAGCCCCATGGACTTCTGGGCGATTCGACTCAGGACCTGCCCTCCAGACAGGTCACCTAGGTAACGAGTGTACGCATGGGCAATCAGAAATTCAGGGTTTTCTTTACCGATCTGGGGGGAAAAAAAGCAGGAAAGAAGAGTGTTATTTTAGTATCGAACAGTAGAGAAACGATTGTGTAATATATATGTATCTAAACATAAGTATCATACTATTATGAAACATACTTGTCTGAGTCTGTGGCAGTATCTTTTAGTGGCAGCCGGGACAACAACCTTCTCTCTCCAGTCCTGGCCGTAGAAGTATTCCAGGTCTTTCTCGATGGCCTCCAGTCTGGCCAGTTCAGCCGGGAAGTAAATGGGAGCGACGCCGGGGTGGTTGGAGTTCCTGTCCATCTCTTCCTCCAAGGCCTTGTAGACTTCATACATCGAGCACAGGAGGAGCTGAAGAAGAGGAGGAGGGGTGGAGGAGGAGAGGTGGTGTCAAGACAAAGACATCAGAGTCAATACAAAAAGGTATGAACGAAAGTGAGATCATCCAAAAGAAGGATTTAGGTTTTGTGTTACCTTAAACTGCGGCAGGGTGACTTGTCCCCTCTGGAAGCTCAGCATCAGCTCTGTGTTTTCTGCCCTGACGTGACTGTCCTTGGTCACCTTTTTGATTTGTTCTGACAGATCCCTGCAAAAAGAAAACGGGCAAAAGGTAAGAGAGGAAGGCATGAAATGAACATAAAGAACAAACGTGGGACTCCAAAGTACAGAAGATGTACACCGTGTGAACCACTGCACCTATAAATGTTTATCTAATGTAAGCAACGTACAGATGATAAGACTTTACAAGCCCGAACAGAAAGTGGGCACACGCTGCACTAGAAACCTACGTTCGGATGCTGCAGCGCTGATGCAGACAAGAATCAAACTCTGTACGTTTTTTTTTAGGAAACGTACAGGTTGAACGCAATAATCTCAGAGCATCTTTAAAGGTGAACATGGCAATGCCCGTGAGTGAAATGTGACTCACCTGTCAGTCATCTGCTCTGCTGCTGTCTGAGTCTTCTTCTCTGTCTCCATTGTGGCCCTGAAAACAAAATGTTGAGATGTCAGAAAAGTGCTTTTAGAGGCAAACTTCCAACATGATCCCCAACATTCACATTCAAGAGCTATAAAATGTCAGCAAGAGGTTATGGAAATAAAAAAAACAGCACCGTAGATAATGTGTTTTACTCACCAGTAGGGATGAAGTTGTGTAGGTCTGGTAGTCTGTTGAATATGTCCACAGTGATTCTCTGTTTTCTCTCTGGATGTGCAGTGCAGCTTGTGCTTTGTGTGCCTACAGTCGTCTCCCTCTTTTATATGATCCTCCTCAGTCTCCTCCCTCCAGCAGCTGAATGAAAACAGGAACTCTGCGTCACAAAACCTCAGCTTAACATGATATGGCAACTTCAGCAAAAAACAGAGGGAGGGACTGTGAGTTAACATGATGCAGCAACTTTGAGAACAACTTGGAAAAGTTCTGAGGGAGGGACTACGGGACTTAGCATGAGCAAGGACGTTTCAGCAATGCCCTGGATCCCAGAGGGAGGAGGGCTGGGTGCTGAACATGACGGTGCAGCCTTGGAGCTCCCAAAGTTGGATCGGACGAGAGGAGGAGCCGACTCTAAACATGACCGTGTGCGTTCCTGAAGCCAGAGAGAGGAAGTGTTGAAACAGTGACTCATGTTCCCCAGTGAAGAAACAATCACATGATTGTATCAAGACAATGCAGCAGCAGTTTTTCAAGTTCATCAAAAACATGAATAAGTTTAACCACGTTAATAGATCACTGACACATGAAAACAACAAGAGGCGATAACTGAGAAGATATGAGCAGTGCAATGTCAAGCAGAAGAGGCTGCTGCAATTATGTAATTGATGTAAATATGTATTGAGCCCAACCTACAAATACATATTTCGAGAGGATAATGTTAATGTTATGTAAAAAAAAAAAAAAAAAAAAAGAGAGATAAATAACTGCAGACGAACGTGCTTCTGCACAGCCAGCTGCAGCGGGACGCCTACTAATTAGTCATCTATTAAATCCGTTGCCCTCCGTTCACTCCAGGCTTAACATGAATCAGCAGAGAGACGGGGGGGGGCGAACACTAAACGTGTCAGCTCTCTTCTGATTATGGTTCACACTGTGACCCACATAAAGTCGACACAGAGTTGACCCGTGGCTTTCGACATAAAAGAAGACCCGAATTCAAGGTTGTTTTTTAGGTTGTTAGCCTCGTGCTTGCTTGTTGTTTGCAGTCGACAAAACCCGGATGTATGGTACAGAAAAGTTTCCCTAAATGAACGTTAGTTTGTAGCCATAACGTCACCCGCGACTTCTAATTGGTAATACGGTGACGCGTAACTTGTTAAAGTACAGCCTGTCCTCAACTCACAGACTTAGTTTGTTTTAATCTGTTGTAACACGACATAAACTGACTCAACCAGTTGGTGCAGACAGATTTTATCAGAGAGCCGACATTGAAGCCCTGCAGCGTTAGATGGGGACCCGTCAGCTGTTAGTTTGTTTCCTGATAAGCAACACCTCCATGGTACCAGACCCCTACAGTCTGTAGCATTACTAGCTAAGCTAATCTAGCTCCCGTTATTTTGCTTACTATGCATTACCATAGTCATGTCAGGTCATTTGAACATAGAGGTTAACGTTAATGATTCCTTCACTTGACAAGAGCCAGTGCCCTGTAGCACACTCACACATCTAGCATTAGCAAAATAGAGTTACACTAGTTAACTGCTCACCCACAGAATAAGACACATAACCCATATTGAGTTATTTCTGTTAAATGCACTTTATTCTTAATTTCAATCATAAATGGGGCTCATACCTTAATATTACTGTCGTTGTCCCTCTCATCCTGCAGTGTGCAGAGAAGCAGGCCCACTGAGTGGAGACAGCCAGAGAGAGAGAGAGGAAAGACTTGAAAGATGGAAGTGGAGGAGCCAGATCTGGATTTTGAGGAATGTAGCACCAAGAGGTGGACCCTGGGCCTGCACTGGTAGTTGGTGGTAGTTTAGAGAAATTAAGTTTCATAAATGATCTTTCATCTGCAGCAGAGTAAGAGTTGGGATTAGGGGTGTGACAAATAATGCACGTTATATATATTCTGATATAGTCTCTTGGTTGCTATGTTATTGATACACTGGCATAAATAGTGTGCTACGTTGTGTTGCGGTGTCCGAGGTGTATCCTGTAACTGCAGATATCTGAACTCTGAACCGTAATTAGTTGTGGCACTGTTCCTTAAAGTTGTTATTTTTGGATGTTGTGATTCATTTGAATTCCATATGTGTGATAGCTTATGGTTCACCTTTTTTTTTTTTTTCAGGAAGCAGAAGGCCTGCTCAACAGGGAAAGGAAACCCTCTGGTAAGGTGCTTTTCAGGTTAACTGTGTGCATTCATTCACCATGCATCAGCTGTGTAGATGCTGAAGAAGTTCTCTCACAAATCCGTCATGGCTGTAATACAGTCTGTCTCAGTGGTGACTGTTGAGCACATTTCAGCTAAAACAGCCATGACCAATCATATGAACACAATGCAAGCTAAAGATGCAGGAAGGGCACTCTGTATGATGAAGATATGGTTAACAGCATCTGTTGTTGTAGTATGTGTGAATACATGACATATTGCAGGTGATGGTGAAGCTGAGTCCTCTGGCCTCGTCCCTGCTTATCCAGTCTGTGTGCCACAAGGCCGATGGGAAGAAAGAGGAGGAGAAGAGGTACGGGAACAGATCAAATTAGATATATATGTCTGTAATTTCATCCCCTCCATACTTACTCATGATTTATGTGCAAACTGTCTCTTCCAGGATATCCAAGAGAAGTTGTTGCGTTTATGTTGCACAGCAGAGGACAGCTTTGAGCAGGTAGTTATCCTCTATGTTGTTCAGTTCATTTCTACTTTTACTTCTACTCTTTATCATTTTTCTACCTTTTTTTTTGTTCCTCCAGACAAGTCCAAGCTCCATGTTGGAGTACTGGTTGTACTCGGATAACCAGCGCAACATGGCCGACTGTCCCATCATCACCCCTCCTGCCACTCCAGTAACGCATAGGCCTTGTCCCTTCATGCCCGTTCCTAGTGCAGTGACGGCCGCTGCTTCTGCAGAGAGCTCTGTGGTTAAATCCGTGGTGTCCGGCCCCGTGACTGACACCTGCGGTCCCATTAGTTCTGTGTGCAGTCCCACCAGTTCAGCCTGGGACACTCTCAGATCCACATCTGACCGGGATCCTGTCAGTGCTGCAGCTCACCTCCACCTGTTGGGAGAATCCTTGTCCCTGATTGGACACCATCTTCAGGAGACAAATGTGAGAAACTTTTTGTTGATATCGTGAGCTTATTAAATGGATGAGTGGTTGCCAAACTTTTTTCAGTTATGTACCCCTTTGAAGTGCCCCCGGACCAGCGCAAAATATGACATTATAAATGTACTTGTGAATGTTGCGGCAGTTAAGGCAACTAACGATTTCATTGAAAATAGGAACACTAAATATAAAATGTGGTTTGTTGAACTTACAGTTAGAGTTTTTATTATGTCTCTGAGACAGCGACCGCTGTGGCATTATGTTCTCTAGTTGTACGTCGAGTCCGTTCTCAGGAACGCAATATTTCAGGCCTGGAGGGAATTTCCACGAATGTCCACCTGCACTCGAGGTTGAGCTGATTAGATTTTGGTGGTCAAAGGTCACTGTGACCTCTCAAAACACATTTTTAACCATAACTCAAGAATTCATATGCTAATGATAACAATTTCACACAAATTTCTTTGAGGATAAAATGATGAAGTGATGACCTTCTGGACAGACATGGATGTAAACTGGTTGGTGGAGGCATACAACCGCGAGGCGGGAATTCTCGTTGAACTTATTGCATAACTTTCTTTAGGAATCATGATATTTAATTATATCTCACATACCTGCTGGAGTACCTCCAGGGGTACTCTGGAGGTACTCCAGCAGGTATGTACCTCCAGAGTACCCCTGGAGGTACTCGTACCCTCATTTTATGAAACACTGACAAGGATAATAACAGGGCTGCACCTTCATAATTGCATATCCATATTTTTAATGTAATTGGTCTCTAAACAGATCATGGCTCTGTCCAGCAGCTGCATATTGCTCAAATCAACATAGCTACATCATGACACATTATTTAAAGGGCCAGGTTCGACCTATTATCGCTGACCAGACTGCAATTATAACCACATTATTGTATTAATGACTCTGATTATAACTGCTTGGACTCAGTGTTATGGCCTGTTACAGATAGGTTAGTATAGGACTTGACTGTATGCTTCAAAGCCTGCAGTTTGCCTCAGTGATTTACATACTAGTCATCTAGCCTACATTATTAGCTGGCATACACACAAGTCATGATAGAAGAAGTTAAGCTAGAGAGGCTGTTCAATTTCCTGTCACTGACCAACACTGCAGCTCCCCGTCTGTTTCTTTTACACCTTCACAAGAAGTATTTATGACCAACGTTAACGGTTTCCTCTTCAAAAAATGTCTCACAACAGAGATATAGCCGGCTAACGTTTAGCTAAACAAAGTGCAAATGCTAACTTAGTTCATTGACAGACAAATATAGATACTGGTATAAAGGTCCAGATTTATAGAGGCGTAAAGTAAAAAAATTGCCATTTGGCAACACCAATGTTGGCCCTCCTGAATATTGTTAAATATCACCAGTGTGATGGTTGGTTAGTTATTGATAACAAAGATGATCTGTTCCAATTAAACGCAACGTGAGTTCAGTGACGTAATGACCCTTCCTTCTGTTCATTGGAGATGTGAAATATTACGAGGTCAAAATGAAACGGACTACAAGATTAAGAAGTGCGGGTTTAATTTATCCTCCATTAAACAGCCATGCACTGCATTAAGAGTCGCTTGCTTTTCTTCCTCTCTCTCTGCAGAAAGCGGTGAGCATGTCGAGCAGCGTGGCTCTGCTCTTGGACTCTCTGCTGTGTGCTCTGGCTCCTCTCCTCTGCCTCACCGCACAGATACCAGAGCTGAAGAGCTGCACTCAGCACACACTGGTGAGAGATGCAGCCGCTTAACAGTGAATAGTCACCATATACTACATACTCTACAAATGTAATATGATATTATCTGTGTTGTTTTTAAGCCCTCCACTCTGGAAAACATTTCCTATCTGATGCCCGGGCTGTGAGTGATGACGACCCCGCTGACAGCACACAGCACATTCTGATACTGAAAGTACATCTTGAATCTGTTTTGATGTACAACAATATTTGTTTGCACTATAGAAATTATTTGAGTGATATCACAATCATGCAAGTTTACTTTAATATGTCGGGATAGTTTCTTGTTTTTGTTGTTTGATTAAAAGAGGTGTGTAACGATTGAATTATGTCGCTTTTTACTGACTAGATAAATCAGTCTTTGTTTAAAAGTGTCGATGGTTTTTGATCAGGCGTCCCATACATTTACGACACAGTCTCTTAAATGCTCTTGGATTGACCCTCAAATGTAAAAGTTGAAGAAACTACAAATTTGCACGAGTTAATTTTAAGTAATATAACTATCTTTAGTCCCTGATAAGTTTGACTGCATATGACCACAGAAGCCTCCATTTCATATCCGTTTAATTATTGTAAACTAAAAGAAAAATATTTCCGTAAAGCTAAAACTAAATAGAAAAAATAAAATGAATAAATTCATTTTAGTTTTTTAAGCTATGACTATCTAATATAAAGGACACAGCACGAATTTCCGTCAAGTCTGGTGACATTGAGCCACAGAACTGAATCGACTTTGACATTCCAGGAGATGGCGCTGTGCCACAATCGCGTCACAATTAGTCCCTGTTGTTTTTCATATGCAGTCTGGCCTTGTACAATTAAATAACAAGAACATGATTTAAATATTGTAGTAGATGAAATGCCATATATCCTAGCTATTCAGCTATTTCCACCAACTGGGGTCAAGAGGAAAAGGTCAAAAACGTTTGGTAGTGAAAGAGTAATCAAGTTGATTCCCAAATCAAAAGATTTAAACATAATGGGCATTTTTACAGTTTTCCAAGCACTTGTTTTATATGTGTATGTAGCTACATACTTCTGAGTCATTATACCGTAACAAAACAAACTAAAACTAAATACATAAAATCTTTTCTGAAAAACTGAAACTAAACAAAATCTTGCAAACGCACTCTGAAAATAGGAAGTCAAAACTGAACTGAAAGAAACTAATTAAAAACACCAAACTATTTTAAAGTTACCTTGTTTCATATCTAATATTTACAAATGTTGCTCACAGTTTATGTGACCAATCAACTCATGGCAAGTTAAATAGGCTACATGCCTGGAGAGTCATTTCAATTGAGCTTTTACAAATTATGAATTGACCACAGGTGAGCATTGTAAGACAATTTTATCATGAGGTATATTATCGGTCGTTAATTGCTGTAATATTTCAACACCTGAAATACCAGATTGGATTTTTAAAAATTTTGCCTCCGCGCCGACATTATGTCTTCAGGTTGTCTGTCCGTCTGTCCGGTCCGTTCTCGTGAACGCGATGTCTCACGCCTGGAGGCAGAAACGTTTACCTGGGCTCAGTGTTGAACTGATTTAGATTTTGGTGGTCAGAGGTCACTGTGAGCTCAACTTAACTAAAAACATTCATATGCTAATTATGACAATTTCACACAAACGTCCCATAGGATAAAATGATGAAGTGATGATATTTTGGATGTAAACTGTAACTTGAGTGGTTGGTGGAGGCAGATAACTACAGGCGGTGAATCTAGTTTGTACATAGTACAATATAAAAGTCTCAGGCTCTAAGCTCGAGGCTTTAAGGTTTTCAAACACTATGTCGAGTGAAACTGCTATTCCCTATTTGGTGAATCCCCGTCCGTATGATGCACAACGCAGCAGAGTGAAGTTCCTCGTTGATTTATTCAGACTTCACATCGTCAATTCGCCCTGACGACTGCAGCGTTGCCAGTTATTAACCTGACGAACCCTGAAGTCCATGCTTATTTGACAGTCATCCATGCGTTTTGACACCTCCTGGGTGTGGTGGTAAAAGTAAGGTAGAATGATTCACATGTGCCCCGGGATGCACCACCTCCGCCTCAGCTTGGAATGCTTGGCAGCCCGCGGACAAAAGAAACCAGTTGTGTAAGCGGAAAGAAAAAAAATATATACTTCTGAGTGCATTCATGTGAGCATGCGTTCAGAATTGGGAGTGGTGAGCCGGTTACCTCCCTAAGACTGCAAGTCTCACCTGCGTAGGCAGCTGTTAGTCGTCGACATGTACTGTGCTGGTTGAGTTGTCTGGATGAGAGAAATAATTCAGTGAATACCGAACAAACGGAGCACGCAGAGAAGACAACACATGAACACAACTTAAAAAATCCTAACACGATTGAGTAAGTATGTTTGTTTATTGCTTGAATGAGGCAGCTGTTTAGTCACCATACGAATGGTTGTCAGTGTTCTGTGAAACAACAAGTGTCTGTCTGGCTTTACGCTCTACTTTCAGAATTAGGTTTAGTGCCAAGTTTGAGTTTCACTTTAGTGCTTAAATGTGTACAGTTTTCATGAGATGTTGCAATGCCTTATGTTCAGTCCTTTTTTTAAACATTTTTGTGTGCATTTGAGTCCATGCGTAAATGTCCTGGTAGAATGCCGTTGTACAGGACTGGCAAGGTGTGGCGCATCATGCAAGCTAAGAAAAAAGGGATTGCGAAGGAAGAAAAATGTGAAATGAAAGCTTCATGTAGGAGCCCAACTATTATCCATTATCTTAGTTCTTGTTAACTCAGGTGAGAGGATAGAGAGAAAGGTGATGCTCAAAGGAAACGAAATAAGAAGACGGCGTTCTTTTAACTATCGGACACAAACGATCAGAGAGACACACCCACATCACAGATGAAAACGCATCAAAAGTCATCACATCTTTCACATGTTTGTTTAGACCTCACTTCTCCTGTTTACATTTCAGATGAGATGAGTAAACTCCTGCCCAATCCGTCCAATTCTGTTTTTCCAGTTTTATTTGCATGGGGTTACATCTTCTAAAAGTTAAACATTTGGCCAAAGGCCACATGTACGATCACGCAATCTCACAACAAACCTTTTGGTTGTTTGGTGTAGCTTCCCATCAAATAGCACCTGTAATCTTTGGTACTGAAATGCATCCAGCACATTTGACCCCTTCCTCCTCCTCTCTTTCCAGCAATGAGTGAACTCTTGAGAGGGAGCTACTCCGGGTCCTCGTCCCCAGAGCTGAGACTTGTTCTCCTGGGAAACATCGGGTGTGGAAAGACGGCCTCAGCCGACACCATCCTGGGCCAGCTGTCCCTCATCTCCCCCGCTGCTTCCAGGAGCTGCCAGCTGCGGCAGGGCATCACAGAGGGCCGGAGTGTGACGGTGGTGGAGGCGCCGAGATGGTACTGGAGCGGCGGCAAGATGGAGGACAGCGTGAGGGAGGAGACAAAGCGAGTGATGGCGCTGGTCGCACCAGGCCCACATGCCATTCTGCTGCTGGTGCCTGTTAACCAATTCACAGAGGTGGGTTGTGGACTCACTTTGCCCTTCCACTTGTGTTGCTGTCATGGCATTATGTCTCATTTACTCATGCAGTCATCTATGGTATCATTTTGGCAGTTTTAAAAGTAAAAGACATGCTTTTGATTCCTCCTAATATACAATATTCATTAATTTTCCTTTTATTTTTTTGAAAATGAATAGGTTTGAGTAAAGTACAATGAACACCTATCCAAGGTGCATATATTTTTACATGCATATACAGTAAATTTAGCAATTAAAGTCCTAATATTATTATTTCTCGTTCTCAGGTGGAGGGTCTTGTGCCTGCAGAGCTGGAGGAGGCGTTTGGGAAGGAGGTGCTGGACCACACCATGGTCGTGCTGACCTGTGGGGACTACTTGATGGGAAAAACAGTGGAGGTATTAGAGTTGCACACGCTGTCTGTGGTGGGCTGAGATATTCATTTCGAGCACTCAAATTTTTACTATAAAAAGTTTTTAAAGTCTAGTATTCACTTTAGTATTCTGCGATTCAACTTAAGCTCTGCATTTGAGTTTTAAATGAGTCAGCCAGTCTTGTGACACACCGAATATGAGAGCCATCCGCCTAAACCTTTACCCTAATTCCAAACTGATAACATTTTGTGTATACTTTGTGTATAGCCGTTGCAAATCTAAAATGTTTTCCTCAGGAATACCTGCAGAAAGAAGTCCCAGGCCTGAGGCAGATCATTGAGCGCTGCGGGGGGAGGTACCATGTCATCAATAATCGTCAGCGACAGAACAGGGAGCAGGTCTGCGAGCTGCTGGACAAGGTGAGATGTCTGCGTATGGAGCAATCAAAAGAACAGCATCAAGAGTCCAGTTTGCGCACACACTTTGTTCGGCGTATATTGTTCACAGCTTCTCTGTTCTCATACTGATTGTGGTGGTTATCTCACACTTTAGTCAGTTTTGGTGCATCAGCTTTTTGTTTTTTTTGTTTTGTCTGAGCATTCCTGTTTTTCCCACCAACGCCCTATTGCACACTCAACAATCACACCCAGACGTAGTCTGAACTAGTATTAGTAATTATGCTGATTACAATGTCACTTTGACAGACATGGGAATTGTTTCCACATTGCAGATTAATTGCAGGAATTACAAAACATGGCACTATAATTGTAAATGTGAGGATCGGGGACATTTCCTAAATTAATTGTTTGTTTATTTATCTTACAGGTGGACAATATGGTGACGAACAATGGTGTTTTCTACATGAAAACGGTCCAGGAGAGAGAGCTGGAGCAACGAGTGAATGACAGAAAGCGAGAACTTATGGAAAGTTACAGAGCTCAAAAGGAGGAGAGGAAAGAGACCGTGTACATCCCCAACCCAGAAACACGGAGGAGTGTGGAGCACAGCACCGCCTCAGAGAGGTGGATGAGAGAAGAGAGGGACGAGATAGAGGGAAGTGTGGGCGTGAGCCAAAGATCTAACAGGCTCCATTCAACTCCAGCACCAGAACAACAGTCATCTTCAAAGCCACACAATGACAGGCAGGCCAACAGGGCGCCCAGTTTCAGACTAAATGCAGGTAAATATTTGCATTTCTGTACCTAATGTTGTTCTAAATCACAATGAGTTGAAAACAACAACTCAAAAATGAATGTGAGCGCAAAGCAGGACTCATATTTACTGTTTTTCCTCTGTAGATGGAGCTGTACTCTCACAAATGTCTGAGGTTAAATCAACTCCAAAAGTGGTCACAACTTGTGAGTCACAGGGCCTCACTGTCTCGTATTATGTCACTTAAAAGTGCACTCCTATGATGCCAGATGTTACAAAAATAATTGTCATTTTCCATATTAAACTCCAAATGTCACCTGATTGTTTTCAGTTCACCACAGAATAAACAGCTTCGAAGAGAGATCCCCCGAGGCGTCTCCTACCTCTGCTCCTCTTTCGCCCTTCTTTTCCTCCTCGTCGACCTTCGCCTCCTCTCCCGCCTCCTCTCCCGCCTCGTTCCCCTCACCCGCCTCTCCTTCCTCATTCGCCGCATCGTCCTCGCCTTCATCTTCTCCGGAGCTGCGTCTGGTGCTGCTCGGGCGATCTGGAGCAGGGAAAAGTGCAGCTGGCAACAACATACTGGGGCGGGAGGAGTTCGAGTCACGCCCGGAGAGCCTCAGTACCATCACTCAGGAGTGTGTGAAAAAGAAGGCGCTGGTTGAGGGAAGACGGGTATGTGATTAAGATGTTGTTTGCTTTCATGTTTTCATTTTCCTTTCACTCCACGTGCCATCGCCGGCCCCCCAAAAATCTGATCTTTGACATGCTGCTTGTTTTGTGTCATAAAGCAATCATGCTGGTTTTCCCTCAATCAACTCTCCACATGGCTACATGTCTCCTCTCTCTCCTGCAGGTGGCGGTGGTGGATACCCCAGACTGGTTCAATTCAGAGCAAACTCCAGATGAGGTGCGAGCGCAGATCTCCTCCTGCGTGGCGTTGTCCAGCCCTGGTCCACACGCCTTCCTCCTGTGCATCCCCTTAGACCAGCCTGCGAAGACCGAGCTGCAGGCTCTAGAGGCCCTCGAGAACATTTTTGGCCCTGAAGCGGTCCAGAATCACACTCTGCTGCTCTTCACTTACGCCGATAAACTAAGGGAGAGCGAGAAGGTGGGGAAAGACGGCGTGGAGGCATACATCGCTAGTCAGCGGCGAGATTTGTTGAAGCTCGTAGAGAAATGCAGGGACAGGTTTCATGTGCTGGAGCAGGGAGAGGGTGGGAGGGACAGGAGGAGTGTGGCAGAGCTGCTGGAGAAGGTGGAGCAGACAGTGAAGGAAGCTGGAGGGCAGTGCTACTCCCATCCTGCTTTTCAGGAGGCGGAGAACAGAGTGAGGCAGAGACAGGTAGAGTTAGCAAGGGAGAGACGGAGAGGGACACTAGAGCAAGACGGACCGCTTGGCTCTGAGAGGCGGGTGCTTTATTCCTACATGCAGCCTGTGGCTGAGGCAGAAGAGGAAGTGAGAGAGGAGGAGATTGAGCAAACAAGGGATGAGGCGGAGATGAGTGTAAGGTCGATGACTATTCAGAGCCTTCCTCCCATTACGAGTTCCACCATGTCCCCTTCACTCCTACGCTCCATTATGGAGAAAATGGGGTCGAGCGCAAAGATGTTACCCAAACTGTTGGCAGATAGCTCTGTGTGGGTCGGCGAGGGAGCAAAGAAGGTGAAGGGTAGTCCGGTGTGGGGGACAGTCGGCAGCAGAGCACAGAACGTCCACAAGAAGATGGTTGATAGTTCTGTATGGGGGAAGGTGGGAGCTAGTGCCGGACATGTGTCCAAACTAGTAGGAAATAGAGTTCCTAAGGTAATGGTGGATGGTTCTTCGTGGATGGGATCTGGGGCAAAGTCGGTAGCAGCTAGTCCAATGTGGGGAAAAGTTGGATCGGGGTCCATGCGTGTTGGAGCTGGGATTGGAGCCGGGGCAAAGAATTTGGCACAGAGTCCCATGTGGGGTAGAGTGGGATCCGGGGCCAAAAGTGGAGCTAAACTGATGGCTGAAAGCTCTGCGCGAGTTGGAGCTGGAATCGGTGCCGGGGCAAAGAAGGTGGCGCAGAGTCCAGTATGGGGGAAAGTGGGCTCCAGTGCCAAAGCAGGGGCCAAAATGGTGGCTGAGAGCTCCGTGTGGGAGAAAATTGGGACTACTGCAAAACAGGTGCCCATGGTAGTCATAGGGGGCGCACTGCTGGGTCTGGTGCTCGGAGTGGTCTTGGGAGGTGTGATCGGCGGAGCTGTCGGGGCAGCTGCTGGGTCTGCGGTAACCGAGGTGGGCAGACGGAAATTCAGCAACAAAAGCACGTTAGAAAAGACGGATGAAGCAGCGAAAAACGTGGAGAGAACGGTGAACGACGGCATCGACTCTCTGGTAAAACAAGGAGAGAAAGTATTGAAGACTGAATGAACGGCTGAATAGAGCACGTATTTAAAATATATAACAAATTAAAAACTTTTATTTGTGAATTTGTACCGTCAGAGTGTAGAATTCAACAGTGGCAAATATGGTTTTCATTTTTATTTTGAAACATTGTTTCCTTCTTTCTACACAAATATACAAGTTGATTCCAAACTTCAATATTATTCTATTATTTGCTTAAGTTTAATTCCAGCAGCTAATGAATGAGGATGGCTTTTTTTTTGTTTTTTCTTTTTTAACGTCGGTGAACGTCACTCACTAAATTATTTGTTCTATCGATATTTTTGATTTGTCTAATTGAACTTTGCTAATCTTGGCTCAATCAAATTTTTTAGTGCAAAGGATACGATTTGTATTGTAATGTGTCAAATCATGTAGGAAAATAAAAATGCTTTTATTTTTAACCTACAATTTGTTATTTTCTGTCCAATCTCTTAATGTAAGTGGCACATTCAAGGTGAATTTAAGTCATTAAAAAGTTGTATTAAACATGTACACTACATCAGTCACTTAGCAAATATAATACAGTTTGTTTTTGCATTTATTGAACTTGTTACCCTCTGCATTAAAGAGCTGTATCCTCATTATCAGCACACTAAAGCTGCTTTAGGAGAATGTTCATTCTTCACATGGGACGAGCAGTTTTTAATGTGGGCGTGGCTGATGGAGTCGGGCTACTGTTATTTCTGTGTGTAGTGAGTGTATCAAGAGGGGCTCAACGTAGGGGGGCAGGCAAGGACATTATCTCTGAGTCCCAGGCTGGCCGCCATCACCCTGCTTGGCCTCCTGTATCAAAAGAGGGAGAGAATGTTAACGCACACGCAGTCCCAACCAACATTATGTGGTTTCAGTTTCCGAACCGATGTCATTGCAAAAGCCGTGAAGTTCTGTTGATTTCTATACATTTAAAAAAATAAAATATACTGAAAAAAGTGTTTGCAATTGCAGAATTCTGCAGTACACCGTGTGTGACCCCTGCCTCAGTCCTCTCTGTGGTTTCATAATGAAACAGGAGGGGGGGCAGAACGGGCCAGAGGCAGCCGCATGGCAGCGTTGTGAAAGCTGCTCTTCCTGTCGTGTGGTCCTGAAACCGGTTGTGTAGGGGTTCCCAGAGCATCCTGGTTGTTGCATTCTTCTTTTTTGTTTTTCCCCCACTCCCTTTCTCCCATGCAGTGGTGGCCACCTCTCACACACACACACACACACACACACACACACACAC